TTAGAGAAATACATGAAACAGTTTCATTAATGTTAGAGAAATACAAGAAACAGTTTCATTAAGTATTATATGAAACAATTTCACAACCATATATGAAACAACTTCATCAAAAAAAATATTATATGAAACAATTTCACAAGATTAAACAATTTCATGAAAAAATTTAATAAAATTAAACAATGAAATCGACAGATGAAGGTGGTTTGCACGGTTTACACAAATGATGGCGGTTTTCATATGATCACTCCTCTCTCTCTCTCTCTCTATATATATATATATATACATATATAGACTTAGGATCATGTGAGACCAATGGTTTTTCGTGAGACCCGTAAGACCAATTCTCAACCCTTGGATTAGATTTACAATCGTTAGATCTGAACATTTATAAACGCCACGAGACTTCTCACTAATTACGAAATTGCCACCTTGCAACTTTGCAACCATTAGATCATTAATTCATAAATTTGATCAATGAACATAAATTGGTCTTACTGTCTCACGAAAAACCTTTGGTCTCACGTGAACCCAACCCTACATATATATATATATATATATATATAATGAAGCATGTATGGATGTGAGGCACCAGTGGGAAGTATAGAACATGGAAACCATCCATCTACTTGAGTTTACAATGATGAGAAAAGATTTCCCCATTTGCTATTTTGTTTTACATATGATGGGTGACCATAAGCCTACATATTAATGTGGCAAAAAAATAGGATGGTCCAAATTTTATTATTGCTATGACACACACCATATTATATATATATATATATATAAAAGGAAGGGTTCAAACGAGAACCTCTGTAATTTTTAGACACGCAAGAACAACTTATCAACCTCATATTGTGATAACAATAAAAACTAAAAGATTTTTTAAATTAAAAATGAAATTAAAACAATTCAAAAAAAATTGAGAGGCAAAAGGGTAATATTGGAATTCAAAGTGATAAAATTTTAAAAACACGATCACATTAAACCGAATAATCTGGATAACATAATGGGTTATTATGGTTATTGTTTATTTCAACACAATTTGGTGTGATATGGGTGTGATAATCATGTGATTATCACACAATTATCACAAGGATTCCGTTCGGCTAGGATTAACTTAGAAAATAGACTATCGATTTGGTGTGATATGAGTGTGATAATCATGTGATATCACTATTATAACAGCGCACTCGATTTGATCATGGTTTCGATTGGTTAGAGTTAGACAATCACACATTTATCACAACGATTACTCATGGTTTCGATAGTTTAGAATTAGACAATCACACATTTATCACAACGATTACGGTAATGATTTGGTGTGATATGGGTGTGATAATCATGTGATATCAATATTATAACATCACTTGCGCATTCAATTTGATCATGGTTTCGATCGGTTAGGGTTAGACAATCACACATTTAT